GGTTCAGCGAGGGGGGGTCCCAGAGAGGGGGTCTGCGAGGGGGGTCTGCGAGGGGGGGTCAGCGATGGGGGGGTCAGCGAGGGGGGGTCCCAGAGGGGGGGTCTGTGAGGGGGGGTCTGCGAGGGGGGGTCAGCGAGGGGGGGTCCCAGAGGGGGGGTCTGCGAGGGGGGGTCTGCGGCGCCGGGGCCGCGGTCGCCGGGGGGCGGCGCGGGCGCCCTGCCCTCGGAAGGGGGAGCGGGGGGGGGGAAGCAGGGGATCGAGGGAGTAGCGAGGGAGGAGGAGGAGGAGGTGGAGGAGGAGGAGGAGGAGGGGAGGAGGGAGGAGGAGGAGGAGGAGGAGGAGGAGGTGAGGAGGAGGAGGAGGAGGTGGCGGCGGAGGCGGAGGAGGCGGCGGGAGCAGGGGGGAGGGAGGAGGCGGGCGGACGGAGTGAGGAGGGAGGAGGGAGGAGGCGTGCGGAGGGAGGAGGGAGGAGGAGGAGGAGGAGGGGGAGGAGGAGGAGGAGGAGGAGGGGGGCCCAAGCCCAGACCTCCTCGAAGACCGAGGGCCGAGCAGGTCTTCGTCGGTCCTCGGCGTCTCCCTCGCGTCGGCGTGCGCTCAGGAAGGCGCGCCCCGCCGGGCACGCTCCAGGCCCAGACAGTCGTCGTCGTCGTCGTCGTCGTCGTCGTCGTCGTCGTCGTCGTCGTCATCGTCGCCCTCCGCCTCCCCCTCCTGCTCCTCCTCCCCCTTCTCCTCCTCTTCCACTCCCACTCCGCCACAAAGGGCATCAATATGTAATCCGCCAGCAAAGCAAGCAATGCCTTTAATGTCCCGCCCGCCCGCCCGACCAAAAGAATCAGCTTGTAATCCGCCACAATAGTAATCAACTTGTAACCCGATGCCACATGGAATCACTTTGTAATCCGCCACCAAAGCAACCAATGCTTTTAATGTCCCGCCCGCCCGCCCGACCAAAGGAATCAGTTTGTAATCCGCAATAAAAGAGAATCCATTCGTAATTCGCCACGCAAGCAATCATTGCCTTTAGTGTCCCGCCCGCCCGCCCGACAAAAGGAATCAATGTGTAATCTGCCACAATAAGAATCAGTGTGCCACCCGCCACACATGCAATCAATGCCTTTATTTAGTGTCCCGCCCGCCCGCCCGACAAGAATAATCAGTTGATAATCCACCACACAAGGAATCAATATATGTAATCCGCCACCAAGGCAACCAATGCTATTAATGTCCCGCCCGCCCGCTCGACCAAAGGAATCATATTGTAATCCGCAATAAAGGGTTACCCCTAGGGCCTACCCCTAGGGCTACCCTGGGGCTACCCCTGGGGCCCACCCCTAGGGCTACCCTAGGGCTACCCCTTGGGAAGCCTAGGGCCTTGGGTAGGGCCTACCCTTGGGAAGCCTAGGGCCTTGGGTAGGGCCTACCCTTGGGAAGCCTAGGGCCTTGGGTAGGGCCTACCCTTGGGAAGCCTAGGGCCTTGGGTAGGGCCTACCCTTGGGAAGCCTAGGGCCTTGGGTAGGGCCTACCCTTGGGAAGCCTAGGGCCTTGGGTAGGGCCTACCCTTGGGAAGCCTAGGGCCTTGGGTAGGGCCTACCCTTGGGAAGCCTAGGGCCTTGGGTAGGGCCTACCCTTGGGAAGCCTAGGGCCTTGGGTAGGGCCTAGGGTAGCCAAGGCCCCCGGTGATCTATACCGGACATTCAGCTGCACGCGCCCCGCGTGCCTTTCACCAAGCAAGACCTCAACGTAGGCATTGCCAACGTGCAGCGGGCCCTGTTCTGGCGGATTGGGACCAGGGGGGGTGGTCCGCCAGGGCCTGGGAGAGGCTGCGCGGTGCTTTGCGCAGGAAGAAGCAGGAGCGCCGCGGCCCGCAGCCGTCGCTCGGGGCCCTTGCCTTGCCTGCCCCGCCTGCTGGGCCAGCGACGCAGGCACCCTTGCCTGCGCCCCCTGCGCCGCCAGCGCCGGCCGAGCCCGCCGCGGCCTCGGACGACGACGAGAGCCCCCCCGACGACTCCGACTCGAGCAGCGCCAAGGACGAGAGCAGCGACGACTCCGACCCGAACAACGACGCGGACCAGGAGCAGAAGGAAGACCAGCCGAGCGAGTACAACCTCCTGGACGAGCTGAAGTTGGAGAACCAGCTCCTGCGCAAGGAGAACGAGCAGCTAGAGGAAGACGCGCTGTGCCTTCGACAGGCCAACGAGCGCATGAAGCTCGAGCTCAGCAAGGCGGCGGCCCTGCCGAACGGCACCCAAGCTGCGGCGGCGGCTCGGCGGGACAGGGGGAACGCGCGCCTTAGGCGAGCTTGCCCGCGCTGCGGCCGCGCGCGGGAGCCTGGAGAAACAATCATCATCATCGTCGTGAAACGCCCGCAGGAGACGCGAGGGAACGCAGGGGGGCAACAGGGGCCGACGCCAGAAACACGCTCGAGAGACCCACGAGAGGGCCTTGGAGGAGGCCCAGGAAGAAGCCCAGGGAGAGGGCAGCAGGAAAACTCAGGAAAGATTCGTCACCAATGAGAACAAGAGATTGTGTCCTCACAGCTGCTGCTTTGGCTCAAAGTAGGGTTCAAATGTGTGTTCACCCCTGTGCTATGAAGCGCCCTGCCGCTTCCGCTGTCCGCGCTGCGAAGCGCCCCGCCGCCGCCGTTCGCGGCGCGAGGAAGGGCGCCATCGCCAAGCGCCCCGCGGCCGCGTTCAAAATTTTCCCAGAGCTCAAGAGGGGGAAGGCCCGCGCGCAGGGCAAGAGGGGGAAGGATAATGGCACGGCTTCCCACGTTCGCACCATTAATGGCACCAAGAAGACACGGAAGCAGCGCAACGCGGGGCGTCGCAACGTCGACTCTTTCAACACGGGGAACGAGAGCGAGCTCGTGGACCTCCTGATCAAGGACGGGTTCCTCCTCGATTGGTCAGGGCTGACGTGCCCACTTTGCGGGAAGGGCGCCCTCGGCAAAAGTTGCGCCATGGAGTGGGGGGGCGGTTCGGGCTGTGCGTGGCGGTGCAACGACGGGGGGATCTGCGGCAAGCAGGTGCGCCCCGCCCGCTGCCACCCGATTTTCGCTGGTGGCTGGGGGAAGGAGACGTCGTCGTTGAAGGACAAATGCATGGTCATGTTCGGCATTCTCACGGGGATGACGACCGCGCAGGTCCACCAGCACTACGGCACCAACCACAAGATGACCAAGGCTATGACCCGCAACCTGGACCTCGCCCGCGAGCAGTACGTAGGAAAATACAAGAAGGACATCGTGTACGGCAACGGCAAGACGCGGGTGAACGTCGAGGCCGACGAGTCCGTCTTCGCTTCTGCGGTCACGGAGGACAAGGAGATGAAGGAGTGGGATCAGTGGGCAGGCGTTGTGCAGCGGGGCAAGCCAGAGACCCCGATGCCGTTCAGAACTGAGTCGGACCGCACGACGAAGAGGGCGCCTGGCCCAGGCGCCATCAAGAAGACCGACTGGAAGCCCTTCCTCCTGGACCGTCTCAAGGATCGCAAGGCCATTCTCTATTCGGACGGTGCCAGGAGCTACAGGATGAAGGCCCCCCCGGGATGTTCTGCGATTCCGTCAGGCACTGCAAGAAGCGCGTGAGGCGCGGAGGGGAGTGGGTGTGGGCCAAGCCCGTGCATTACAAAATCGCGACGCACAAGCCCCCGAGCGGCACGGTGCTGAAGGTGGCAGCGGGCACGCAGGTCATCGACATGGCGTGCAAGCGCGTCAAGCACCACATTGCCCCCCGCAGTTATAAGCCGCACAGCAGGGCGATTGCCGCGCGCGTCCGCTCCGCGCAGTGGGAGTACCGGCATCGCGGACACGACCTGTGGCCCGCCACGGGCGAGATGCTGCGCGACGTGATGGGGTCCACGTTCTGGTCTACAACGGCGCAAGAGCACTTATGATGGCTGGCGTTCTACCCGGATTGTGACGTACATACGCCATTCGAAAGTGCGGCTCGAGGCTGCTGAGAGGGGTGCCATTCCGCAACGGGGGTGCAGCAATCGGCCAATGCTGCCCCGCAAAGTTGATGAGACCTGCGCGCGCACGACTTCTCCCCCATTAAGAAGCGAAGGGGCGCGGGGGGAGGCGGGGGGGAGGGGCGCGCGTCGTGCGCGGCAGTCGCGGCTGCGGCCGCGGGGGGGGGGGGGGTGCACCGTTCCGCTGCGTTTCCGGTTTGAGCGACCGCCGTCGCGTTGCCCCCCGCCGCCAGACTTTCGCTTCAAGCTTCCGTTTG